TTACCCAGGCCTCTGGACAGACGTTTCCTGCTGAGGTGGTGCAAGCCTTGGTTTGTCAAGAGTTAGCTTCTTACATGTGGCCTGGGCTGCCTTTTCCACAACAGCTGGTGTCTCATCAGGCTGATGAGAATGTTCAAGTTGAGAATGATTTAGACAGCCTTTTTCCTGCACCTTCTTTTGGCAATACGACTATGTTCTGCACTTTTGAAGGAGGTTCAACCTTTGTCTCCTTTCCTCCTATTAATTTCACAGGTTTGTCACATTTTGATGTTTCTTCTGTTTCCTTTGTGCAGGATCCCTAACTTGGATTATTTGGTGTTTCCCCTTTCACCTGACATTGGGGTTTATGCACAGTGGACTTTATCAGTTTTTGAGGATTTGTCTTACACTTACTAAAATTTTGCATTGCCTCTCCTCTTTCCCCCTTTGTCATTCTCCCTATGATTTTTCAGAGAACTTCAGGTCCCTTTTGTGGTCAACTTTGGTGAGGCTTTCTTCATTGGTCCTTTCCTTACTTACCTTACTACCGTGTTGTTGGGGAGAGATGAGCTGCTTGCGGGGTTCACCTCCTCAGCTTCCCTCAGGGATTTAAGGATGACTTTCTTTTTTGTGTGACACCATTTTGGAGGGCTGTTCCAATTCTTTGGAGTCCCATGTTGATGTGGCCAGGTTTCATACTTCCCTATCTTCCCTTGCTAATTATTCATCTCAATGTTTGTCCTCCACAGCTCCTGATCCTATTCCTGTTTCCAATGCTCCCACTTCCACATCCCAACCTTTACCCGTATCTCGAAATTCTTGTCCTTATCCTCATTTTTCCTGTGTCCGTCAAGAACATTGACAACAGTATAGGTGACTACACAGTGGGGTCAGGTCCTGTGGGGCCTGTCTCAACCACTTTATTGACATTTGGGAAACTTTTTTTACTGAACCCTGAATTATGCAGGTTTTATCAGAGGGTTTCTCTTTCATTTCTGGTTGCCACCTCATCTTTTCTTGTTTCCAGTTCCATTCCCTCCTCCTAGAGACCTTGTCTCAAGCAGTCATCTGTCTGAGGCAGTGAGAGGCCTGCTTCTCAAGGAAGCTGTCAAACCAGTGTTTTCCATTCAAATGAATTTTTACTCTCAGCTCTTCATTTTCCCCAAATAAACTGGGGATTGGAGATCCATCATTGACCTCTCCTGTCTAAATCAGTTTCTGGATCCTCCTTGTTTCACCATGGAAAAGTTTCTGTCTCTTTGTTGGGTTTTCACTTTGGATGATTAAGTTTAAAATAGTGGATGCATACCTTCATGTTCCCATCTCTCCATCCTCACATTATTTTGTCTGGTTCATCCATGAGGGGCGTGTTTTCCAGTTCTGGACTCATCCATTTGGGCTTGCCTCAGCTCCTTATGTATTTTATCAGGTAGTCAAGACCTTCGCTTGACATCTACATTCATTGGGACTCCAGTCTTATTATTATATGGGCAACTGGCTTCTTCGGGCTCCTTCCTGTTCTGTGTCTTCTGACCGCACATTTTTACTTCTGGAGGAAGCTGCTCGTTTGTGTTGGTTAATCAAAGTGGAGAAATCCATCCTTTCCCCTACACAGTATCTAGTTCACTTGGCAGTTTTCTTCAATTTCCACCTCAGTCAGGTCCAGCCTTCTCCTCTATGTCTTCAGGACATGGAGCAGTTGGTCATCAAGGCCTGTCCTTTCGTTCTCTTCTAGCTCAAGAGGTTCTCTCTCTTTAGGGGTTGTGGACATCTTTGGAAGCTCTCATACCCCTCAGTCATGCTCACAAGCATTCCCTCTAGTGGGAATTCCACAATCAGTGGAATTTCAGCTCAGATCCCTTGGACCAATTGATTGTCCTTTTTTTTCTTTCTTTTGGACCAACCTTGCTTGGTGGTTGGACAGAGACAATACTACCACTGGTATTTTTCTTCCACCTCCTTGTTTGGACCTGTGTCTTTTGTAATGCTTCTCTTCTGGTTTGAGGTGCATATCTCGATACCCAGGATGTTTCCAGGAGTTGGTCACTGGCTGAATTTGGGCTCCATGTCACTGTTTTGGAAGTCTTAGCTGTTTGTCATGCTCTCTCATTTCCTCCATCTTCTAAGGAGGAACGTGTTTATGGTGCATTCTGACAACTTCACTGTGGTCTCATGCATAACCAAGCAAGGGGGTACCAATTCCAGGTCCCTTTGTTTTCAGAATCTGGAGCTCCTATTTTGGGCCCACGAGCACAGATACAGCTCTTGGCTTACCATATTTCCAGTGCTTTGAACCTTGTTGCAGATTGATTATCACATTCATGCAAGGTCATTCCCATGGAGTGGTTCCTTGATCCTTAAGTTTTCTGGTGGTTATGCTCTTGTCTAGGAACTCCACACACATAGATGCATTTGCCACCCATTTGAACAACAACCCATTATCTTTCTAATCCCTAGTTCCTCATCCTCAGGCTTTAAGGTAGATGTCTTCAGTCAAGAATGGCGGTCTTCACATTTATTCCTTCCAACCTATACATCTCCCTAAGGTAAATCTCCCTCATCCACACCACTCTGTATCAAGTTCTCTTGGAGAATTTTTTTGGCTGGCTTAGCATTGGCTTCTACAATTATAATCACCTCTGCCCCTCCCTCTGTCTCCTTCTCTACTTTGTCAACCTCATTTCGATGTCTTCCATCCCACCATTTCCATTTTCTGGCTTCACACGTGGCCTTTGTCAAGTTCGTTGAAGAAGGCAGGGTCTGACACTGCATGTTTCTTCTCTCCTTGCCCTCTTGGTCCAACCTTCCACATTGTCAATTTGCCTATTATGTTGGACTGCTTTTTGTTATTGGTCTCTCTGACATGGTTTTCGCCACTCCTGTCCCATTCTTTACCTTTCTTGGTTCCTCATTTGGCTATTTGTCAGAATCTTTTTGTTTCAAAAGTTTCTGGTTATAGAGCAGCCTTGTCGAACAAAATTCATTTTACCAGATTCTGCCAGATGTTATTCTCTCCCATCCTTTCCCCACTGTTATGGCCCTCTCATATTCTTATTCCTTGCCGTGCCTTTCTTGTGCCCAGTTGGGTCTCAATTTTGTATTTTTTGCCCTTTTCCAATCTGCCTTTGAACATTTGGCTTCTTGTTTCCTGTATCATCTTTCCGTAGTCTCCACCATGTTGTACCCTGTAGATCATTTTCCAGACTGTTCTGCTATGATTAGTGTCTGGCAAAAAGCTTCAGCAGATATTTCTTTTGCAACATCTCAACCAACAATTGGTCCAGTTATCAATGCTATTTTCAAATTTTGAACAACTCGACTCTCAAGATTTACATATCTACATGAGCCGATGTTTCCATTTATGAACGTTATATTTTAAGAGCTGTGCAAGAACTCAGCTAACAGATGTTTCCATATATCAAAGCTATCTGGAAGATGTATGAAAAAACTTCTCTACCCTATCTCTACTAGCCATATGCTTTCATACCTGAGTGTATCAGCATCCTTTGCCTCTGTTTAGCATTGGAGGCAAAACTGTCAGACCTGATTACTTCCGCCTCACTGACAAGACATTTGACAGTTTGATGTTCATAAAGAACAATGGACAGTTATTATATCTATAAGTCTCCTTTAACAATATATTTTTTATTCTAAAACTTTGCTATTTCATTTTGAAAAATAAAAGTATCATAATGTTATTATTTGTTCAAATTTTGTTTCAGTTTCTAAAAAGTTTGTTTCATAAAATAAAAGTATTGAAATCTTATCATCTGCTGTTTTGTCATTATTGCATATTACCTGAAAAAGTATTCATGAATACATTCCTATGTATTTGTATTCAAATACTCAGTATTTTTCCTGTATTTGTTTTCTTATTTGTATTCATAAAAATATAAAGTATTTGTATTTGTAATCGATTACTGAACTCCAGTATTTGTCCATCCCTGGTATATAAATGATTATTTGTAATTTTAGTGCTTTAAATACAGCTAAGTTAACTGATAATAGAATATTTTCATAAATTACCATCATTTAGCCTAATTTTATGTACCATATATGTAAGAATATTTCCAAATGTGATAAGCAGCAGTTATATTGACTTGTTTCAAATTTTTGTTTGATTTAAATTTTTTTTATTATCTTGGTATTAGTGACCTAAATATATAATGTCACCAATTTTCATAGATATTATTATTTCTTAAAACAAGGTAAGTGTCATCACTACAATAGCTTATGGCCTATGAAGTAAGATAAGGTTGTTTTCATATTTAAACTATACTTTGTCTGAAACTGTTATGACCTACCTCCTTTTTTTTAATCTCTAATGTGAAATAAGTTATAAAATGTATCAAATTATACCAGATACAATATGTTGTTTTATTTTCGTAGTTTAGTACCTGGAAATGCTCAATAAATATACTGTACAGTGTAGCAGCTTTTAAGTTATACATTTACATTATTTAAAATGTGTAATGAAAGTCTGTTGTATGAAGAGAATTTATTGGAGAATTACATAAGACTTTTGTAAACTATGCTAGTTACAGGCTATAATGGAGTTGCCTTTGGTGACTAACTTTGACAATGTATAGAATAACCAAGTTCCTTATCTTCTCTGTAAATATTAGATATTAATAGAGATGTTACAGTAACTTATTTACAGTAAACTTCTTTTGACATGAGTAAAAGCAACAAAGTCAAAGTTTCATGGTTATTCAAAAAATTAATTTTTTGAGAATATTTTAACTCAGTTTTTATACAGTTTAGGTTTTCAAAGATATCTGAATTTGTTAGTACTTAAACATGTGTTTGACATATAGAAGTATGCTTGATATACATACAGCAAATGACTAATACATTTTACCATTAAGAACTGTTTTTTATTCAAAGTGAACAAAGCAGTAGGTAACAGAAAAATAGATTCAACATGTATCCTATTAAACTATACTGAATTTGAAAGTAATCATATTTCATCAAATAACTGCATTGAATTTGTTATTATTCCTTTTTTGTTTTCTTCTTAGTGTCACAAACCGAAAAAACTAGTGATGCCCATGTAGTAACAGAAAGCATAGCAGCTAGTGCTGTATCATCAGAAGATGTCCAGGTAACTTAACTGTTTTTCACTTTGTAACAAAACTATTATAGAAATATAATGTTGTGAATCTTTTCCTATTCTTTATGATACCTGAACCTTTATATACGTGTTTATCTACACTACCTGTGATTGAATATAAGCATGGATCTAGATGGATTAAGTAAATTTCACAGAAAAATTCAATCATGAGGTATAATACTAGAGCTTAGCATCATGGCAGCTTATGATTGGTTTAAAGAAATGTATGTTTTCAAAAGTAAAAAGTTAACCATTCACAAACAGAAAATTGTGGCAGCTGAGAAAGAGGCTAGTGAAAGTCAGAGTAAGAAGCCCAGAGTTGATCTTCAGAACTTGCCGACAAGACAGTATCTTGATACAACTGTTGTACCCATCTTGCTGCAAGGTTTGTCAGCTTTAGCCAAAGAAAGGTAAGTAGTAACAGTGTTCTTTTACTATAATTTTAAAAAGTATAAATTGTCACAACTCATTTTCTTAAAGTAGTGCATATTTATTGCTGTAACAAATATAAGTAATAGTGTTTTGTACAGGTGATTCTGATGTATCTAAATTAGAGACTTGGAAATTGTAACAAAAGATATAAATAGTGCTTCCAATATGATAACTTTCCTCAGGTAATAGCTTTTCTCAACAATTACTGCACAAATTTTCACTTGCTACTAATCTTATATTTCCACCTACATTCACTGGTTTACCTGTGTTAGAGCTGCATTATAGCATGCAAACGAGCATGTGACACACTCTTCAAGCACAGCTGACTCTCTATATATACTGTAGAACCCAATTTTCACGTCTCAATTTGGCACAGATGTGTTATGACATATTGCTCGCCTTTGCTTTTTTCTTTCAGTTTATCAGGTTTTGCACTCAGTTATTCTACACAGTCTTATTGTTATTATTCATAATATTTCTTTTCTTGGTTTTCATAGTTTCATTTTACAACCAAGAAAGTTTAGATATGGATTGTTTTGGATTTATTTTTGCATTATAATAGCCCCCCAGTGGCACAACGGTACGTCTGCAGACTTACAATGCTAGAAACCAGGTTTTGATACCCATGGTGGTCAGAGCACAGATAGCCTATTGTGTAGCTTTGTGCTTAATAACAAACAAATAAGCATTACAATAAATTGTCAGTTTCATGTTACCACTATTTCAACTGTTACCGATACCCCAGTCCAACACCTACTATTACTGTGGCTTCAGGAACAATTTTATCTGTTGAGGAGGTTTTGGCTCTGGTCCACCAGGTGTTTGAGTTTCCCATGAGGCCTGGGAGTTCTCCCCTTCTTCTTGGGGAGTCTGGTCAACATGGTGAGGATTTGGAGAGCCTTTTTCTGCTTCCCTCTTTTGCTGTGCCTCAGCTTTTGTCTGCTTTCCTGGACTTAGTGACACAGGTTTTGTCATTATTCCCTAATTCTTATGACCCTTTTCCTTCCATCTTCTGATATTGGGATCCATACTGATCATTTCAAAAATCACATGATGTTGGGGGTCAGTATGCCCTCATTCACCTTGCACCTCTGTGTCTCATGCTTTAGCATATCATTGCTTTAGTGTCAATCTGTGGTATTGTTCACCACTGTCCTGCACGCTGGCAGTGGTTCCGATGACTATCCAGTGTGTCTGAGTCCTGTTGGGCCAGGTTGTTTAGGCTCACCCCACTTTGGTGTACATTCACTTCCAATTCTTGGGTGATTCAGGTATTATCACTAGGACTCTCTCTTCATTTTCTAAAACTTTCTCTGTTATCTCATCTTCTGTTCCTTTTGCTCTTCTTCTTCTTTGGGATCATCTTTCCTGCCAGAATCTTTCTGATGCAGTTCTGCTTCTCAAGGATGCTATTGAACCCATAGATCACCATACTCTGGGGTTTTATTCCAGATTGTCCATCATCCCCAAGAAGACCAGGGATTGGCATCTAGTCATAGACCTTTCCAGTCCAACCTTCCTCATTTCACCATGGAGTCTTTCCTGTCTCTTTGATGAGCTTTTACTCCAGGTCTTTGGATGATGGTAGTGGATGTTTTGGATGTGTATCTTCACATACTCATTTTATCTGCATCCCATCGTTACCTTCAATTTGTCCATGAGGGTCAGATTTTTAGATTCCATGCCTTGCAGTTTGGCTTAGCCTTGGCTCCCTACATTTTTTGTGGGGTTATCAAGGCTTTTGCTAGTCTCTTGGGGTCTGCAGTTCTATCATAACATGGATAACTGGATCATTTAATCCCCTTTGTTCCAGGCCTCTTACAGCCAAATATAGTTTCTTCTCAAAAAAGCTGCTTGATTGGGCTGGATTGTCAATGTAGAGAAGTGCATACTTATACTGACACAATATCTCATCCACCTCAGAGTTTTTGTCAACTCCCATCTCAGTTGGGCCCAACCTTCTCCCCTTCAGCTCCTTCCTATAGAGCTATTGGCTCTGAAGGCTTAATCCCCTAATTCACTGCATGCTTACAAGGTTATTATCTCTTTTTTGGGGGGACTTTTGCTTCCATGGAAACCCTTATTCTTCTGGGTTGTGCTCAAGTGAGAACACTTTAATGGACTCTACATGCTTAGTGGAATCTTGCCTTAGATCCCTGAGATACCCATATCCTTCTTCCATACAGACTAACTTTGCTTGGTGGCTCAACAGAGGTAACATATTGGTTGGAGTTCCTCTTCTACCTCCCTGTCTGGAAGTGCATCTTTTCACAAATGCTTCTATGATGGGTTGTGGTGTATTTGGACTCTTAAGAGGTCTCCAATTGTTGGTCGTCAGTCAAGTCAGGGTTCCATATCAATCATTTGGAACTCCTGCTGTGCATCACTTTGGATAATTTCTGTCTGATTTTGTGGGGCAAGTCAGTCAGGATTCATTCCGAAATTTTTATCATTGTCTCTGACATAAGTCAGCAAGGGGGCTCCTGTTCCATTTATTTTCTAATGTTGAATCTTTTTTTCTGGGTCCATTCTCAATGTGTTCCTCTCTCTTGGCTTATCATATCCCAGGTGCTGTCAATCTTGTTGCAGATCATTTGTTGCATCCTGACAAGATTCTTCCCATAGAGTGGTTCCTCGACCCTCAGGTTTTCAAGTGTCTATGCTTGGTGCTGGAAGCATTTGCCATATATCTCAATGCCAAACTTCCTCTATTCTTGTCTTTGGTTCCTCATTCTTTGGCTCTGTCTGTCGAAGCCTTCAGTCAAGATTTGACCAACCTTTACCTTTATGCCTATCCTCCAATCCATATTCTTCCCCAGGTTTTGTCCATCATCCACACCACTCCATGTTGAGTTTTTGACCATGGTTCTTGTTACTTTATCTGTTTCTGTCACCACCTTCATTACCTTTTCCACTATTGAAATCCATTCTCTGTCAACCTCACTTATCTGTGTTGTATCCTGCCATTCTCACACTCCGGCTTCACAAGTGGCTCTTTTCTGATTCCTTGTAAAGAGGTCCAGACTTTCCTTTCGTGTAGCATTGCTTCTTTCTGTTTCATTCTAACCTACTTCCTCCTTATTGGTTTATTAGAAGAAATGGATAATTTTTTGCTTTTGGTCTTTTTTGATGAGGTTTCCTTCCTTCTCTTCCCAATGTCCCTCACCTTTCCAACTTCTTCACTTGACTGTTTGACAATGGTCACTCTGTCTCAACTGTAGCTGGTTACTAGGTGGCTTTCTTTTATAACTTTCAATTCTCCTAATTACACCATGTTTTTTACTCTCCTGTCCTCTCCTTGTTTCGGTCCTTTCATATCCTTCATCTTCCTCCCCCTACTCCTTTACCAGATTGGAATCTTAACATTGTTTTGCATGCCTTTTACATCCCTTGAGCCCTTTTCTTACTGCTCTCTATACCATCTCTCCTTGAAGACCTCTTTCCTCATCCTCCTCTTCACTTGTGGTCATTGTTGGTCAGATGTTTTCACCCTCGACATATCTTGTATTGTATATCTTAATAATTATGTTCTCCTTTATTGTAATTTCTCCTTTCTTCCTAAGACTTCTGCAGCTCATGATAGTTGTTTTGCTTTCAAAACAATTTCATTACTTTTCCATCTATATTCCTTTTCTGATCTGGATTGCATCTTGTTGCTCTGGGCCCTTGTGTGTTATGTTGCATGCACAGCTTCTTTCTGTGGTTTCTATTTCTTCCTCTTTATCCATTGGAATTTTTCTTCCTTAAGTGACCTTTCCCCTATTATTCTTACAGGTTGGGCTTGCCAGCTTATTTGTTTGGCTTACTCCTCCTCATCTCCCAGTTCGTGTTGTCTTTTTCAGGTCTCTGCTCACCAGATCTGATACCTTACCATGTCTCTGGCTTCTCATTTCTGTCGACCTTGGAAATCAACAAGGCTGCTGTTTGGAATATGCTGCACACTTTTGGCTCCTATTATCTCCATCACTTGGCTGTTTCCTTCTCATTGAGATACCATTTGTCTCCTGTCACCATCCTACAAACCTCTTACAGGGTCCCTATACCTCAATTCAGATCCCATTTTTTTGCGAGTGGTGCCTGTCTAGGTATACTATCTATAGATAGGTTGATTCCACCCATCCTACTGCTTCTTGGATGTGGATTCCCAGGGGGTCTGGTTCTGTATCTGGGAAAAACCAACCATCAAATCCACTATTATGCTCATCCTCACAGTTTATTGAGTCATAAGTATTCCCTCCCTGGACCATATCACTCATGGGTAAAGCAGAGAAGGAATTACTGCCCATCCCGCCATTCCTGCTTTTCAAAATAGGGTTCCACAATCACCCATTGCACTCTCTTTAGTGTTGTATTCATCCAAACTCCCCACTGTACTATTTCCCTTCTCTTCTAGTGGTGTATGGGAGTTCTTACCACTTACCAGCTCCTAGCTACTGGGATGGTAGACCATGGAGGCTTCTTCATGAGTGTGCTCAATCTCACTCGGTTGAGATTAGGGCAGTGGTGGTGATGTGCCCGTGTAGATGGCACTCTCCTCCTACCACAGACCTGATATACAATTCTAGATGCCACCTGGTGATGGACGTATGATTCTGCTACATGCAATTCCTCCTCTCCAGCTAGGAACCCTCCTTCCTACTGCTACTTGGATCTCAGTTCCTGGGTATGCTGGTGTAGGTTGGAGCTGGATTGGCCACCTTAAGTCCTCACACGTGTGGTAAGGCTAGGACCCTCCTCCTACTGCAGAGTGATGATACTTTCCCAATCGTACTTCCACGTCGCATTACATATTTCTACCATTGCCCATATGTCAGGTTCCTGGGTGACTGGATTTTGAGAACATAAGGCCTTCCCAGTGCCATCTGGTTTTGGACTAGAGTTGATCCACTGTTTTCAGTCTGCTGTGCCAGCCACTCTACATCATTGGGTGCATCCAAGTTTCTTTTGAATGTGATTCTTTCTCTAACTGTTTAGCAACACATATCTTCACTACAGGCAAGGAGTATACCTAGTACAGATGTGATGTGGTCTCCTACAAGTGTTCCTCTATATAGAGATGTCACACTCTGTGGGTATTCTTTGAATACTTTTTGTAGAGTGTCATCTATTTAACTTTGCACCAGTCCCTCCAACCTTTCATTGTGGGATTCTACTTATTATATGAGTAGAGGTAGGTTATTTTGTTGGAAGTTAACATTTTCCTACACTGAAAATTTATTTCTGATAGCTACTTATCTTCTTTCACACTTCCCACCTGTCCTCCCCATTTCTGGTGCTTGCTTTTTGCCTAATCTTGAGGTGAAAATTTGGTTCTACAGTATAGAGTGAGTCAGTTGTGCTAGGAGGGTGTGTTGCACTCCTCTTGGTTGAGGTTTGTTGCATGCTTATTTGTATGCTACAACACAGGTGTAATATGTGTAAATGTGGATATAGGGAGAGCACAAGGCTAATTGTGAGTGAAAATTTCCATATATAGAGGTCAGTAGTTGTTGAGAAAAGCTATTATGCGAGAGAAAGTAAGTGTCCATCAGAAATACGTTTTTAATGTAGGAAAATGTTAACTTTGTACATTTAATTCTTATGTGTCTAAATTAAAGGCATTAATATTATGTTTATTACTGTAACAATAGATAGAAATAATGCTTTTTTACAGGTGATTCTAACGTGTCTCACTTAACAGCTTGGAAACTTTTTTACTGTAACAACAGATATAAATAGTGTTTTGTACAAGTGAGTATAATGTGTCTAAATTAGAGGTTGAAAGCTATATACCTATCAGCTTTAATGTTCTAATGAGATATTATGTTGTATGTTTTCAAGATAATATGCCCACATTATTTTATTATTGTCTGTGCTTTCTATAATAAAACATATGAAATTGTACTTGTGTTAAAAAGAACTGCTGTTTACTTAAACATTTTTATTACTAACTAACATATCAGAAGAAGTGCAAATGTCAGTGTGTTTATGTTAGAAATAAGTCATTGCTTTAGATACAATGTATGTTGAGATGTTAAAAGGATGTTGCCATATTGTGCAAGCTTAACTTTGCAAGGATGTTTAGTAGTCCACCTTTAAGTGTGGCCAGTTTGGGCTGTTGCTATTAAATACTGTAGTGCTTTTTTATAAAGGGAGACTGCTCCATATGACCTTTCTTATTATGAGGTCCAGATTCTACTGGAATCTTTCATTCATTTTTTTTTTTCATCTGCCTTGTTTTGTTATGTTTGAGTTTTACATTTCATGTGAATAACTAACTCATCTGAAAAAGATTACATGCTGAAGTTTAAATGCATGATACATTAGTATGCTTTTGTTAGAGAGTATAATGGTTGATTTACCTTTGTTATAGTAATAATTAACCCAGCAGAAGTGGAATAGATAAGTATAATTAGAAAAGCATTTATGTTGTTAAGAAGTGTTGAATTTAAATTTGACATGAACTGAAAATGAATACGTTTAAGATCATAAAGTTGAAACAGGTTTTCATGTTCATTATGAATGTGGAGATAATTTATTTCAAACCATGATTCATATTGGGTATTGTTAATGAGTTGTACTTTAAATATAAAGTACCAGCTTATATCAAGCAGTTTTTATTGTTCTACTCTTGAAGTTTTATATTTATTGTCTTCAAATTTCAGGCCACCTGACCCTATTGAGTATTTAGCTGCTTACCTTCTGAAGAACAAATCGCAGTTTGAACAAGGGTGTATACTGAATGGTCAGAGCTCTTCAAGTTAAACTGGAAATACTAATCCTGTCAATGAAAAAAATAAAGTACAGTGGTGTGTCTCAGTAATTGTGGCATATTACAGCTTGTATATAATTATATGTGTGTTTTCATAAAAATTTACATGATTCCCTTTAACATATTGTTTAAAAGCATCTTATTTTGTATTGAAAATTAACATATACTCAATACAAATTTTAAAAAATTAAAAATAATAATGCCATATACTATCAGTATTTGAGTAGTTAGGTTTCTGTTGTATTTTTCTTATATGCAGAGCTTTTTTTTAATTCCAATGTCCAAAAGTTAGTGAAGTCTATCTTGTAACATATCGTAAGGATAGTTTTACTAGTCAGGTTCTTCACTATACTTATTTGGATTGTAAAAAGATAAACAGTTCATAAATTTTTTCATGCTAAAGGTAAGCCAAACTAGCCTATTTTTGGAATACAAGTTACTGTGATTTTTCATGCCTTTTTAGTATAAAGACTTTTGATTTGAAAAATGATAATTAGCTGTTTTGTAAAATTTACCTCTTTTTGGTTTCATTGCACAACTAATAATGTTACCATATCATGTATTATTTCTTACTTTATATGTAAAGATTGCTACAAAAGGTACAACCAGTATAAAATCATAAGAAAAAAGCTGAATTAATATAAGTTCTACCTCATTGTTTCACATAATAAATTCATTACTTAACTACAGATGTAGTTCTGAAAAGTTATCTTTCTGAAGTACTGGTTGATGATAGGATATTATGCAAGTTTTTCACTTATTTAACCATTTTTATCTGTTGTGCAATAATAGTTCAATCACTGCCATTACTTGCTCTCATATTTACTCAATAAAGTAATAAACTTATTATCATGTAACTGTGGTCAGTTGTTAAGTATTAAGTACAAGTATCGGATAGTAAAACTGGGCATTTAGTAGTATTTTCTAACTGATTAATCATCAGGCTCAGTAATTGATTATATGAGACCATTCTTCTTATTTTCAGCTTTTTTTTTTTCTATAGACATTTTCAAACTACCCTTCATTTAATGTGATAGAGATCTTCAGATACAACAATTTAGGATTAAGTTATTTTTTTAATTAATTGACTAATTTTTGATGCTAATTAATTAGTTAATTGATTATATCAAATTAATCACCCAGCTCTATCAGATGATGATAAATAGTATGGAGAGTGAAATTACATACTTCTGAAACAATCTTACCTCCTTTCACCCAGAGCTATCTCAGTCCTTCTCTGCCTTATAAGCATTGCTAAAAAGTTGTACTAAAATCACACCAGTCTTTTATCTCCCTCAATTTATGCCATTTTTCTTTTGAACATGTATTGATCATGTTATCATTCTCCACCAGTCAGGTTGTGGCATCTATATTGGTGCAGCTAGCTCTCTCTACTATTCTAAAACAAACCTCACTTTTCTTAATTGGCATTCCAGTGTCCTGACATGTTTTCAGTTGCTTTCCATGTGGCTACAGACATTTGATTGTGCTTGATCACATTTCTATCAGTTTCTACTTCAAGTCTCAAAACATATGATTTCCATTGTTTCTACTCCTTTGTTTCAGAAATATTTCTGTTTTCTGAATTCTACTTTGTTCATACTGAATTCGGTATTTAATATGGTGGTTGTCAAATTAGACAAAGTAGACAGTTAGCCCAAAGTAGACAATAGTTCTGCACACAACTCCAAGTCTCGGGGTTGACGATGTCTGCTGGGGAAGTCCAGGCTGAAGTTTGTGGGGAGTTCCTGTCTTATGTTCGGCCAACGACTTCTTCCTTTCATAATTGTTTTTCTGAGGAAGGTTATACCTACTGAGAGGAAAATTCTTTATACGGCACCTTCCACCTGTTACCGTGCCTCCATGTAATCTCCTGGGTTAGGTATTGTTCTTTTTCCCAGGAGATCTGTGGTATGTTTTTCAAAGTGTCTTCCTCACCCCCAATAGGTATTGCCATGTTTTTCTGTTTATGTGAGCTTACGTGGTTAGGCCTATTTTCCTCATGTGATAATTTAGGTCTTTCATGTTTTTTTGTATCATCTTCATTAGTTTACCTTTATGGTTATAGTTTGATTATTCCTTGTTTTTGTTGAATTTTTGGTATAAGTGCAGGTTTTGCATGTTGGTTACTCTAGGTAATTGTAGCCACTGCTACATTTGTGGGTGTTTTAATTTGTTATTTATACTTCCCTTGCCTATTCATGTTTGTTAGTTTGCAAGTTTTTTTTGTCAAAAAAATTTTTTTTACAAGTGCATTATTATTCTGTACTTGGTAGACTACGAATTTCAATTTTTAGTTAGATCATTGGTAATGTATACTTTCTCTCAGTATGTTTACTTTATGTGTCTTTCTGGCTACACTTTATGACCATTTTATGGGTTCTACAGGTTCTGTCTGAGGTTTCTGCCTTCAGTTCCACTACCCCCCTATCTACTTACCTTTTTTCTCTCCTTCTTCCTTGGAATTGTATCTCTTATAGTCATCTTGCCTTGTTTGTTCCAACCCTATGACACAAAGGTGCTGTTGAATGGTTGGTACCCACTCAATCAGGGTTTTGCTCGTAGTTAATTGTTGTCCCTCTCAAGCTAGAAGGTTGGAGACCCATCTTAGACCTGTACCTGTTGAACTCTTGTATGGAGTCACCTCGCTTCACCATGAAGTCTTATCTATGTCTTCAGAGGTTTCCCCTGGAACTCTAATTGTCTTGACAGATACTTCTCTTCCTGTTCCTATTGCTCCAATATCTTGTCGTTTTATTCACTTCATCCACATGTTATGTCTTTCAGTTCTGGGTGCTGCTGTTTGATTCCTTTTTTGGCTTTGTGTGTTTTATGAAGTGGTACACTCTTTTGCCCTTCATATTCTCTTATTGGGTCTTCAGACTCTCCTTTTCATAGAATACTGGCTCTTGCTCACCTCTGTATCATTTCACTTATTCCACTGTCGTTTGCTATATCACCTGACAAAGGGGAGCCCTAATTCAGATCTCTGTGTTTTCTGACTCTAATTCATCTTTACTGGGCCCATGACCACTACATGGCAATCTAAGTGTGTCATATTCCCTACATTTTGAATCTGGTGGCCTGTCACTTATAATAACCCAACCAGGCTCTCCTCTCAAAGTGGTCCTTTTCTCCAAAGGTATTTTGGTGGGTGTTTTCTCACCTGATAACACCTCACATAGATGTGTTTGCCATTCACTGGATCACCAATATTCCCTCCATTTGGTCTCTAGTTTTACACCTGTTGGTTCTGGAAACAGATGCCTTCAGTCTGGTTTGATGGGTCTTCACCTATATGCTTACCCTCAGATCACACTTCTTTCTAATGTCTTTTCCCTTATCCTGACCACTCCTTCTCCTGCTCTGTTTATTGCTCCATATTGGTTGGCTCAGGTGAGTTTCTGCTCTGGCCCTTACTGGAGCAGCAGCCTTGCCATTACCTCTGTCCTGGTTGCTCTTCAGACTACTGCACGTCATTCATCCTGATGTCACCAACCTGTTTCTTCTTGCATGGCTTTTGTCCAGTCCCTTTCTTCAGCTCAGGGTTTCTTCCCCCTTGTGTAGCATCTTTCCTTTCCCATACCAGTTGACCCCTCTTTGTCTGTTCACCAGAGGCATTGGTCTACCTTTAAACTTTGGTCCATTCACCATGGCTTCTGCCCATTAAGTCCTTCTGTTCCTCTACTGTCCCAATTTTTCACCTGGTTGTTTGACCAGGGTTTGTCTATGTCAAGTGATGCTCATGATAGGGGTGCCCTGTCATACACCTTCTGTTTCTCCTGTTTCTGAAAAGCCTTCTTCTCAGTTTTTTCCCTACTTTTCTGTTCCTTTCATCTGGTCTGTCTATCACATCCCCTTGTTCTTTTGTATTTAGATCTCATTGTTGTCCTTCATGTCCTGTCCGGTTCACCCTGGGAAACCATTGCAATGTGTTTCTTGTATCATCTTTCCCTTCAGTCCTCTTTCCTCCTCCTTCTGGCTTGCAGTCATCATTGTTCAGATGCTTATGCGATTAATGTTTACTGCTTCCTTTACCATTCCTCTTTTTTTTTCCTATTTCCTCACCTTCCATTTCCCACTTGTATTCACCCTCGAATCTGAATCGACTCCTTTGTCTAGGTCGTTTCCTGCTATATTATGTGGCTTGTTCTGCCTCTTTTCATGATACTCATTCCTGTATTATTCCTGTTTATTCGTGGTATCCCCCTGTTTCCTGTGATCTTTCACCTGTTACACTCACTGGTTAATTTCATCAACTCATATGATTCACATATCCTGAGTGGTCTATGGAGGATTGCCATTTGCTCAATGTTTCTTTGCACCAAATTCATCATCTAACTGTCTTTGGCAGCTTGAATCTGATGGCCCTTGGAGGAGATTGTTCAGGCTGGTATGTGGACACCTCCCAATATGTTCGTCACACATTCTCTGCATGACCTGGCTGTGTCTTCCTTGGGCTGGTATCCTCCTGTGGCAATTCTGCATCTGTCTATTTGCCTTTGACTGAGGTTAGTCAACATATTATTATTATTAAGTCTTAGATAATTTTCACCACACTGTGTCATATTTCATGCCTGGTTATGTATGCTTCGTATTATATTAGCACTAATTATGAATATTTTATAGCACCCACTGTTGAGATGGGGTGTTTCTGTAAGACCAGCAGCAGCTTGTCTGGTGGTGTGTATGTATATTGAATTATTTTAATCAAATGCTCATTGTTTTTCATGTGAATGACCATCACTCATAGACTTCATTAGTAAAGTATATAGGAATTTCTGCTTATACCTACTGACCCGTGGTTCTTATAATTGGGGTCTTTCTGATTTTCAAAATAACATAGCGCAGACACTCATTGCACTGTGTCTAGTGTATGTTCCTCTGGTCTCCCCAATGCAAACCTCCACTTCTTCTATTCTACTGGAGCCATTTCCAGTTCCCAGTTGCTGGACCAAGGAGGTTTCCTTCTCAGTGGGTTTTGTATGACCGACACGAATAAAAAATTTACAGATCATGAGTACCCACTTGGCGAGAAGAGGGCTATTGTTGTTATACTCCTAGTGGAAACACCTTGCATAAGAAACTATTTGATCAACAAGTGCAGTCCACCAGACAAAAACATCAGGGGTTAGCACCGTGGATCCTGAATAATTTGTTGTTGTTTGGTACTGCAGTGAGTATAACAACAATAGCCCTCTTCTCGCCAAGTGGGTACTCATGATCTGTAAATTTTTTATTCGTGTCGATGTTTCAGTTTGGTTGGACTGTATTTGGCATGATTTGTCATATCCCAAGATGCTCCCCTTGATGATTTTGCCCAGGCAGACCTCACTTGGCTAACATATTATATATCTAAAGCACTTCTCCTGGATATTTTTTGCCTAGGCGGACCATTCGTGCTGATCTCACAATCTTATGAAAAGTGCTTCCACTGGATGTTATGTGCCTGGATGGGCTTAACATAATCTGTTGTATACCAAAGTGCTTCCCCTGGATGTTCTTGGCCCCGGGCAGACCACACTTGGTAATAATCTTAGTATCCAAGGCACTTCCACTGTTGTTTTTTCCCTGTGAACTGCTCTTGGCATAACATGTCATATCACAATGCACTTCCCCTGGATGTTTTCTGCCTGGACAGATCACACTTGGTCTGTTCACTCACAGTCCTTCAGCCCTAGCCACTTATAATCATTTTGTGTTTCTCAGGCACCTTGTTATGGCACACTATAATTATGTTTGGTAACACATCTTGCTATTCTTGTGGACAGAATATCACATGTATGTTGACATTGTAGCCTTTTTTTCTTGTCATGTTACATATCCAAGATGCTTCCCCTGGATGTTGTTGCCCTGGAGGACCACACTTGTTGATCATACAGTTTTTTCTACAAGGCACTTCCACTAGATGTTTTCTGCCTGGATGGATCACACTTGTTTTACTCTAATATTACCCAAGGCTAGTTGTCTTTTCCATAATACATTAGTGCCTGCCAATTCAGTTCCACCCATATTGGTGTTCTGATTTTGATTACTGGAAGAAAAGCATGCCTGTTCCAGAAGTAGTGGTATACACCTCAAGTGTGCTTTCTTTTTAAGATTTTGCACACCCATGCTTCTGGGGCAGTTGCTTTCTGCTTCCTAGGTTACTTATGCACCTTCACCAGCCCCTCCACCTATGCAATGTGGGAATCTAGTTTGGGTGAGAGGAGGTAAGACCATTTCAGAAGTTAACATTTTCTTACACTGAAAATGTATGTCAGATAGGTACTTACCTTCTCTCACTCACTCTCCTCACTGATGTGCAACTGCCAATTCTCGAATATGAGGTTTGTTCTAGAATAATAGAAGGAGCTAGCTGTGCCAATATAGATGGTGCAGCATGATTGGTGGAGTATGATCAGTACATGTTCAAAAGAAAAATGGCATAAATTGAGGGGTATAAAAGACTGGTGCATTTTTAGTATAAACTTTAGGGGCTGAAGAGAAACAGTTTCTGGGTGCTCCTGGTTGTTTCTCAAGCCCCTTCAGGACTTGTTAGATATAAAACCAAAATTACTGTCATGTTAGTTAGTTAGTATAAACTTTTAGCAAAGCTTATAAGTCAGACCAGGATCGAGAAAGCTCTGGGTGAGAGAAGCTAAGTACCTATCAGTAACACATTTTCAGTGTAAGAAAATGTTAACTTCTGTTATTTCATAAATTCTACCTTTTGAGTGCACCAAAATCAGTAACCAACTGGATACTTTTTTTCTTTTTAGATAAGTTGCTGAAAGTAGAAGAAACTCAAAGTACTCATGGGAATTTTGTTTTTCAATCAAGTTGCATATGGCATCTTATATTGCGTAGTAATATTCAGTGTTTTTGTTTGCATAGATGGATTTGGATATTAGGATAATGACCACTTTTAAAATGTATATTTTTGTTTTACACTGTACATTATAATATTTTATTTCACATTACGAACAGTGGAGAAAGAAAAATCATATGCACTTACTTAACCAGAATAGCAGCACACATACATGCTTAACATTGACAAGTGGTTATACATTTCCAAGAATGATACTTCTCTTGTGTGGTTACATTCATAAGCTTAGCCATTGAAATTTAGCTTTACAGTCTTCTAGATGTATTGTGTATAAAGTATATTACAGTGTACAATTTCACAAAGTCACTCACGTTTAGAATTTACTAATGACAACACAGGAGTCTCAGAATGTTGCAACTATATGATGAATATATTAATGGCTCAAAATATTATATTATCTCAGAAGATGCAAAAGAAAAATGATTAAGTTGTACAATGCACTAATATTTTGTATATGATTTCTTTCCCTTTACCTGAGCAGTACACCTTGTTTTCATGCTGCCATAAAGTATATCAATATATAAAGGTAGAATATTGTTTCAGATGCTCTTCATATACCCTACAATTAAGCCAAGCTGTTTCATTTCCTTTTAACCTTTTGGTTTGGTTGCTTCTCAGGAGTAGTTTTCAAGTACCTACATGTCTATTGAGAAACCATTGTGCTATTGGTCTTGAAGGTAGCATTCACACCTGTATTTACGATCAGTGGCAAGATCTGTATTTAATCATTATCTATCTTATAAAGAACATTCTTTAAGAAACTTAACAATACTTCTGGAGAGTTTTGGTTTATTCTTTGAGCATCTGTTATTGACAGTGCTAATTTCATGTAGCTCTTCAGTCTTGCATACATCTCATATTCAAACATGAAGTGTTGCTGCAATTTTTCTCATGGAGTATCATTGTATGCTCTAAATTTTGATTGTAGTATTTCAGTCCTGGCAGGCTGGAAGCCACAACAAGATTATACTAACTTCTACTGGGCATAGTATAAGTACTTGTATTTTTATAGGCTATACACTGGTCTGTACTTCTTGATTGGTTGTATGAAAACCAGTCACAGTGTAAACTCTCAGCACATGATACTCTGGTGCATTTCATTTTCACCGAATAAAGGGATGTGTATCCTTTTTACTCACTTTCTCTGTAATTATTTCCATTACTGTATATGTAATTTTATATAATGGAAAATCTTGTGCAAATTGTTACATTGTTCACATGACCTGAGTATATATGAGAGTATTAGCAAAAACTTTTAATGATTCTTTATACATTTAAATCAATGATGCATCCCAAGGTTTTTTACAGATGATTAACACTTGAATAGTTCAGACACCTTATTTATAATTCATGAAAAGTGAATGGTCAGATATTGTCAGCATATTTGAGTACAAACCTTGACATGATTTGTTTAGTCATAGATTTAGTTATTCATTTGGAACTCGGTGCTTTTTGGTATATTTAAAAAATTCAAGATTAGTTAAGCCATGTGGACAAGTTTTAACTCTATTAACAACTTTGGTGGAAATTAAACTTGGGTGACAGTGTTGGTATAAGATATCAGACTTGTAGCTGATGTAACAGTTTTATAAAAGATTTTAAACTACTCGGGTAGCAGATGATCAAATATAAATGTAAAGATTTTCACTACAGGTAGCTACATCTTTCACATATGTATTATCTCTGAAAAGCTTAGAAATTTGTACTTGTTGTAACAGTTTTAACAAATTTGACACAAAGCAGACTTTAAGATAAGTTTTAACTCTTGTAATTGCATTAACATTGCAACTCATCTAAGAGCTTTAGGTGAGGCTGTACTCCAGAGAACATTTTTGTCAGAAGTGGTTTTCAGAGAAGTCCAACTCTAAACTCAGCTTTAACAAAAGTTGTATCTGAGCTTCAAGGGAATATATAACTCATGTAATGTATTTTAAATAGTGGCTACAGCGAAACAATGGTTGAAATTGTTTAGGTTTAAGAAACGTTGTAATTTTTTAATACACTTTTTAAACTTTCAACTTGACTGACAGCTTTGAGAACTAAGAATTATTTAATAGATTTGAAGATTTATCTTGTTTTAAAGTTTTTATGGCTGTTCTTATTTTATTTAAATTTCAAGTCATGACTGATAAGGCCAAATTGTAATTTAAGTAACACATTTAAAATCTCTCTCTCTGAATTAACTCAATAAGTGTACATTTGTTTTCAACTCAATAACATATTTCATGTGTTTTACATATCTTGTAAAATTTTCACAATTATTTTTTAATTCTGTGTTGGGATAGTAAAAGCTAGTTTAGTCTGAGGCTGAGTGGGGGTTGATGACTCTTAGTCCCTGGTTATTGGCTTATTCAGATTTGAATTCTGGTGCATACCACACAGACTTGAAATTATCTTTGGAGTTAAATGGGTAGTTTTCATGTCGGAAAATAGATTTGCTAACATAACAAAAATACACTTGTAGTAGCTCAATTTCAAGGTTGGGATCATTTTCCTCTAAAATATAAAAATTGACACTAAAATTAGTGAATGTCTGGGAAGCTGAGGAGTGGGAGGTCACTTTAAGGTACAATAGATGAAAGAAATAGGAAAATGTATGTTTGAAGAAAACATTGAATTGTTCATTTACTTCAATGAAAATCATAAAAACATCACTGAGCACATTATATTGGTGTTGAAGAATACTAATTAAGTTATTTTTTAACAAATTGGTATGAAGTGCAAATAAATCCCAGTAAATGAAGTTTTGTAATAACAAGATGCATAAAGTGAATTGCCCAAATTCTTCACGTCACGAAAGGTAGAAAACGAGTTTTATTCTTCAACTGTAAATTAGTAGTTGATTATTGACCTTTGATAATATATTGCAAAGATGGACCTTCACTTTGAAAACCACATAAATTTGAGATGCTTATGTAGAATCCCTATGTTTTGGGAACCATACCATTGATGTTCATCTTCCTTTGCACTTGATATTAGTAGGCAATAAGATGTATGACTGTTAGAATTTCTAAAATTCAGTAATATTTAATATAGTATTTGTCTGTGGTTTTGTTTTGCAATAATTTTATATGCTATGTCTACTATATATTTTAACCAAAGTTGCTTGCTTAACGTTCTAGCCTTAATAATTCAGCAACGATAAAAGTAATTTATATTTAATCATGATTCTTTTTAGATGCTTCATAAATCGGGGGAAATCCAAAACCCATCTTACACACTACACCTGATTTCATTACAAGCTGAATGGCAAGAGGTGTTAACCCCAGAAAGTGTTAAACATGAATTTCATACTATAAGTGGAACAAAATTCCATTTCTTTTTACTGTGGTGTGATATTACAGTAACAAGAATAAATTAACTATTTTATATGACTGGATCTAACTTACTTTGTAAATTGTTGTTACTTTTTAACCATGTACCTAACTTAAGCTCTTTCTGAGGATGTAGTAATACCCTTGTGTAACTAGGTTGTTGATTTTGGCTCATTATGTAAATTTTTTCTGAACCTAGTGTAATTTGAGAAAGGATTTTAATACACCCTGTACTCTATAGGTCATTATTAACCTAATGTAGCCAGTTGCTTGATTTTTCTCTCTTTTAATATCAATTTATATGTTTGATTAGGTTTTTGACTTTACTTCATTCTATTGGTAGCTGTTAACCAACCTTGTGTTTCTATTACTGACTTCAGTTTACTTCTTACATTTTTGGTAAGCTAATGCTATTTAATAAAGGTAATTTATCTTAGACTCCTTACTTTGTTGATTGTTTTTAACCTTGTGTTTCTAGATAATTGACTTACCTCTTTTTAGAATGGTTTTACTGTTGAGTAATTTTTATTATATTGTCTTGTACTCACCTGTTAAGTGTTTGTGTTAGGTGATTCTATCCTTACATAACTAGGTTAGATTTATGTCTTTTGCATTGTTTATATATATGCTATACTTACCTTACTATGGAGACTATTTTTATTCTTGTATAATTAGATTCATGCCTCGGTTAAATACATGTATTATTGTTGACATTGGGAAATAACTTACCTATCTCCATGTACACAGGCTTACAACTTTTCATATCTGTATTTATTTCTCATACTTTGCTACCTCTTGAAATCAAAATTAGGTACACATGGTTTATAATTTCGAGTTGCAAAACATACTAGAAGTAATGCAGTTATCAGTCTATTTTGTTGAAACATCAAGGAACAGCATGTTAGCATTTGTTTTATGATATTGAAACATCAAGGAACAGCATGTTAGCATTTGTTTTATGATATTGGAACATAAAGGAACAGAATGTGAGCATTTGTTTTATGATATTGGAACATAAAGGAACAGAATGTGAGCATTTGTTTTATGATATTGGAACATAAAGGAACAGAATGTGAGCATTTGTTTTATGATATTGGAACATAAAGGAACAGAATGTGAGCATTTGTTTTATGATATTGGAACATAAAGGAACAGAATGTGAGCATTTGTTTATGATGTTGGAGCATCAAAGAACAATATGTTAGCATCTTCATTTTTTTATGTATATACTGAACAAACTTTACACACTCATTGTTACTGTGAAATTTTGAACAATCCCAGTGTTTTGAAAGCTGCTAAAGAACTGTTAAGACAGAATGGTGAAGGTATCTGATTTCCATAAAATTAGGAAAATACAGTATAAACCTTACAGACTTTTCTGTCTTGTGGCTTTCTTCTATAAACCTGTCTCAACTTCAAAGTGATTGCGCTGAAGTTATTTACAGCTTTAACTGTGAGGTATGTGGAATATGTTAACAACAACAACAGATATGACCCTCTGAACTGTAATTTTACTCTTAATCAACCATAACATCTGACCTTTATTTGTGTTAATACAGTTTAACGGATCGATAGTTCGTAAAAACTGATAATGTTTTGTAGCACAGGTTCTTGGATAACAACTATCTTTGATCTCAGGCTGACGTGTTTGTCGTACGCGACAGTACGGTTGATATGTACCACACTACAATGATAGAATATTAAATCAACTAAACAACATAAACGTTCTTTCCACTGCCACCGAGCAAATAAATCTGCACTATGGTTTATTATGAGGGGTGTGTGTAAGATGAAGAACAAAGTAGATTTCTCATGAAAACGAATGTTTGGTTAAGGAGTGGAATTATAGTTAAAATGGTTTACATATACAGCAATATTTGCAACATAAAAGGTTTGTTAAATTTCGTGCAAAGCTACTTGAGGTCCATCAGTACTTGCCGCTTCTAATTTGAAAGTGATATAAGAAAAGGACGGCAGTTAGACAATAACACCCAGCGCCAACTCTTGGGCCACTCTAATCGAGCTGTGGAATTGATAGACACATTATAACGCTAAAAGGGCGAGCATGTTCCATGGTTGTATTCGAATCTGCAAGTCGAACGCCCTAACAACCAGGCCTTTTCTCATTAACTATACGGGAGCAAACTGAGGAGTCGCCAAGCTTCTTTTGTTGAATAAAGAGCCGCATAAAACCTTCATATTACTGAATAGAAGCTGCTCTGAAACTTTTGAGTAATGAGTAAGAAGAATCGGAAGTTCTTATTAATAATTACTAATGTAGTGTTTTTTTCCCGTTTACACCATGGTTCTCTTGCTGAATAATGAGCATTTTATATAAAAAAAATAACTTACAATGCGTAGAATAATACATGGACTTCTCTATACGTTAAAATACTTTTACTTTTCGGACCACTTACCGTTGTACATTGTTGTCCGATTAAGGCTCCAGTAAGAGGGCCGAAAGTTCGCAAATAAAAGTAATTTAACGTAGAGAAAAGTCTGTATATAATTCTACATATTATAATATATGGCGTTAAAATGTCCTTATTCTAATTCTGATGTGTTGTAATATAAGTGAAATTAGTCAAAAATTATACTTCACTAACTTAATCCACACCGTAACAGCTGATGTTTAAATAACTTGCTAATATAAATAGCATCTTAGCTTCAGCCAGCCTGATATTGAGCCTTCTCATTGAGTGACGGATGTTCAGAAGTTCTCGTATTAACAATGGCTGTAAAAAACAAACAAAAAACTTTCATTTTATTGGATAAAGAGTGACAAAAACGTTGTTATTAATTTAAGGACGATCAGCAAAT